CTTCACCAGTTGACATGTTTGGGAATAAGAAGAGCATTTGTTTCTTGTGCCTTTTTTTAAAATCACATTTCTAAGGGTTAAAAAGGTGGCGAGGGAAAGACACTCCCCCTTCATGCTTCCACAGTGGGCAGCTACAGATGCTCCAGAAACCCTGTGTTATGGTGGCCCACTGGGCTTTTCACAGGAAGGTAACGGTGTTCAGCAGCAGGCTGCTCTGTGGAGCTGTCAGGTATAATCTCATGTGATGTTCCTTGTTTCTTTGCAGCACAACATCATGGTGCAGAGGAGAAGAGACGGTGTGAGGCCGGACATGCCCACTGCTGAGGAGAGGCTGCAGATGCTCAACGCTATCGGAGGAAAACCGTACTGAGAGCGAGCTCGGTCACATGGACACTGTGCAGACGAGCGGGCCCAGGAGGTGTCCTCACGGCCGGCATGTTGTGGTGATGCTGGTGCACTGCAGCGGGCGTACGCTGGGCTCTGGAGAACCACATGTTTAAACTCAGGTTGTGTGGAAGTGACTGTAAGTGATGACTGGAGAATAAAGTGGAGACCTGGAGGGAAGTCACAGAGACAGCATGTCAGGTTATTTATTTTGGTTCAGTAACACTGAGTGACTGAATTAAAAGAGAAAATAAATGGAGTTGTTTATGTTCTAAAGAGAATACAGCCTGCTGCAGTGTTTTGTTTTGTTTTGGTGTTACAGAACCAAAACCAGTTCTACTGACGGTACAGCTACAGGTGTTTGCTTAAACCCAGAAGTTCAACTCATTCACAACGTAAATCGCTCCAGTGTGGAGAACCGCTTCATCTGTGATGTCTGGATCGAGCCAGAAACTGTGTTTCAACCATCTACAAGGTGAAGATGGATGTCTGCTTTGGTCTGGACACAACTAGTGCAACTTTTTGAAGTGTTGATAAGTCAGTGGAAATTTAAATTTGATAAACTACACGAATTTTCATCAACATGTAACTCAGCAGACACACAGCAGAGGCCATGTTTTAGATCCTGTAATCACCACAGTGGGCCTGTGTGCTCAGAGCGGTGATGGATGAAGGTTTATCTCATCATTTATGTCTTTTTTTTAAACTGTTGATGGGTTTTATTCAGCAAAACCTGCCTAATAAACCTCCAAAACTGTCTGGAAGCGCTATATTACTATTAAAATGACTGCAAATGTTTATCAGTATTTTATGATATATTGTTAATTATTAGATTTTCTGTGAACAGCCAAACATTCACAAAAAACAATTGAACAGACCAGAAATGCTCGCTTTTCAAAACTGATGACAGAGAATCGAAATAACCCAAAACTTTTGTTTACAACAGATGATCGTTTAATCAACTCAAGCAGCACCTGTAGATGTCTTGCAGTCCACTTCAGCAGTAAGATGGAGACTATTAGATCTACTGAAGCTTGTGGATTTGAACTCTCTGGAGGAGTTTATGCTGGTTGATGCTCCATGAAATCCTCTCCCTGCCTTGGCGATCCGTTTTTACTGATGATCTAAACATCATAAATGATTCTCTCCAGGTGTGTCTCTCTGCTTTTAAGACTGGATTGTTTTACTGTGAAGCCCTTTGGTTTGTGTTTCTGTTGCTACAGAAATCAAGTCTGATTGATTCATTGATTTGATTTAGTCGTATAGGAACATAACTTTTGGAGCACAGACCTGTTTGGTCAAATTAAAAAAAATGAAAGCTTAAATCTGTTCAATTAAATCAAGACTATCCGTCATCGCTTCTCCAGCAGCTTCATGACCCAGAGCACACAGGTAAGGTGTCTCTGCTGGAAGTCCCGCCTCCAACCTGAATATCGCTCTCTGATTGGCTCTGCCGGATATTCGCTAACATCTGATTGGTCATCCCTGCTGTCACTCCATTATGCTTTTAACAGTTACGTTCAGCCTGTTGGACAGGACCGAAGGCAGTGCAGTGAATATTCTGATTATAATCAGTGCTGTCAACTACATTTATATTTGTGTGTGTGTGTGTGTGTGCGTGCGTGTGTTTGGTAATTAGGATTTAAAAGATGTCAAAGAAAACTGGACATAAGAAACTTCTGTAAGTTACTTCAAGGGTTTATAACCGCAGAGGCGCAACAATACTGATGTTGAATAAAACTAAATGTTTAACGCCACGTTTTAAAGTTATTATTTTTATGTGTTTGTGTGGAAGAGAGCGACTTTTTAAAACAAAATAAATTTGTGGAGATAAATTACAGTAAAACCTCAGATTCTAGATGCTCATGTGATTTTATATATCCATATTTTGGGGGGATAAATTACACGTAACAATTAAATGTTTTTGTTTTTTTAGCTCAGGCAATAACTGTCCCATCAAACTCTGTGATCCAGACCATCAAAGACAAAGAAAGTGGAAAGTGATTTTTATTGCTTCTAGGATGATAGCCTACATTAATTAGATTTATTCCACTACTGTACTTCAGCAAAGTTTCATGAAGGCACTTAATCCAAACTATTCGTGAACCATAATTCTTCTTCACTGTGTAGCTCCAGTGATCAGATTTTGGCTCCAACATGCATGTCCTGTACGAGACACTGGTGTCAAACTGAATCCAGCATCATCCACCTTCACCGACGAGGAGCTGCTGCTGCCATCGGGACGTCTGCTTCCTGTCAATCAAGCTCGCTGAGCCAATGAGCGTCCAGCTCCACGATGACGTAATGCTCATACAGGACGCGCACAGGTAGGCTGCATCTCCACATGTCCTCCAGCTAATGTGTGGATCAATGTAAACTAATGTTAATATCACACAAACACCGATAACTCTAAATAAGCAGAAGTGGGCATCACCAGAGACACCTCCGTGAAAAATGTAGTAAACATGAAGTTATTTTATTGTATTTTTTATCCAGGTAACTTAGTTAGTTAGCTAAACAGTCTCTTTATAAAATGCTAGTTAGCTGCTACAGTCCATCCAGTTTACCTTTTTTTTCTCTCTGTCTGAAGCAGCTCATTTTCAGAGACTTGTAAACCAGCGTTATCAGCCTTTTAACACTTAAAGTTTAGGTGTTTAAAAGTCATTTGACACTAAATGCTTCACAGGCATCATGTTAAAGTGAACTGTCCAAATACTTCCAGTCTGGACTCTAACTGGCCCTGTTAGTCCACAGCAGTGTTCTGTGAGCTCACCTCTACCTTCATACAGTCCAACAGAGTTATACTGACGCTTTTATTTAGGCTGAACTGGTAATAATAAAGACTTGAGACTTATTCTGTTCCACCTCAGCTACATGCTGTCTGTAGAGGGTAGTTTTATATCAGGTCATTACTTGGGGGCATCAACAGATGAGATTGTTTTATTCTTCAGTCCAAGAAACCAACAGCGCCTTTAGTTTCAGTGTCTGGTTCTTGCTGTTTATTATATATATATTGGTAAATGCTATCAACTCAGACAAAGCTTCATTTGTGATCCAACAATAAAACTCAGAATGTGAAAGGAGTTGATATGTGAGCTAACGCCTGTCAGTAATCAGACTTCTTACAATATAATATAAAATAAGATGAGCCTTTATTAATCCTAATTACATCATTCCAGCAAGAAAAGAGGACGGTCAGAAACATTTAAGAGATGTCAGTAGAAAAATAAGAATAAATGTCTTTGGCTGTAGAAATAACAACACGGCACATATCAACAGCATCTCACAGATTCCTTCATGAGCACAAATACAGAAATATTCATGTTGTTGCACAGATCTGTCCGTAAATGGAGAATAAAGCCGTTACACACGTTCAGCGTGTTTCCCCAGAGCTTCAGATGTTCTTCATTGTGGTTGAATTGATATGAACTGTAACCCAGTGAGGAGTAAGCGGTGTATAGATAATGGATGGATGGATGTGAACTGTACTTGAGTGGAACAGGAACCTTTTCACTTGTAGGTCACACTTTGACAGAATGTGTTTGGTCCACAGACCTTTGCTGCCTCCGTCGGCCTCCTCATGGATGCGTACGCTGATCTCTGCTGTTCGTTTGGGTAAACTACACATTTCCTTCAATTCCCCCTGTGAACATGTGCACAAAAACACAAAGTCCTTTTTGAAATTGCAGCTTTCAGTGACGCCTGCAGATCACAAAGGAACCCGCCTCACTCATCCTGCCTGTGATCCCGTTTTACATCGAGACACTGCATATTCCATACATCATCCATACATCACACTAAACCTTTTAATGTTCAGTCAACCTGCACCTTAAATTACACCTCATACAGGTGTCGTAACTCTCTTCCTGCTACGTTCATGTACAGTCACTTTGTACCTCTGAACCATTTTAGCACCTCATGTGCATGATTTGTTGTTAATACGATATTTTACTTTATTCTTATCTCACCATGTTCCATTTTATTTACCCTATTTTAACTACCACATGGCTGCCTTTACTATTACCATTACATGCCCTAAGTTACCCCCAGGGGCACTAGTTTACATAGATACCCTTCATATGTGTAACTCCTCCTCTTTCTGCAGACTTCCTGTGTGGATGGCATCACTCCTCCACGCCGCCAAACGCCTCAGGAGCGACCACGCTCGTCGGAAGAAAGTCTACCGTCTTTTACGGAGGAAACTGGTCTGTGCTCATGTAACCGAATGGTGTGACTCAATCTGAACCCTCGGCCGTGAATTCTGCCCTGAGTCTTGTGTATTCACACCCACCAGCAGCTATGAATTATCGTCTGGGCTCTTCCTCTTCATCCTCTTCTCGCTTTCGTTCCAGATGTTTCACAGAGCTGGTGTGGACGGCCAGAATGTGGGTCAGCTCACCTACGTTTTTCCTGAAGAGGTGAAGATGTTGGTGCGCTCTGCCTTCCCACAGAGCGTCTGTGACTACCCCAACCCCACCCACGACCAGGTGAGTAGGAGCCCCTCCTTCAGGTATGTACTTTATGTTTAAAGGCACCAACCTAATTTCACTAACTACACATCCTCAGTTCTGTTCCTCGACTCCTCTCCTCTTGTCTTGGTCCCTCCCAGCAGGGATTTGAGCAGAGGAGGCATCACCTGGTCTTTATTGTGTTATAACATACCTCTAACTACCTGCCTGCTTTATTATCTGTCGGATGAGCAGAACATGTTCATGATAGCTTTATAACCTCAGGAGTACATTTACTGATATTGTCTTTATCCAAGTCAGTGTGACCAGAACTTCCAGACGTCAGACATTTTTATTTTTTATTTAACACACGGACGGCGTGAAGTATGAAAGAGTTCTTTCATAGATTTATTACAGGTCTTTTTGAAATGTGACAAACTCTGCTGGGTCAAAATATTCAGTGCTTAACACGTTTATTGGACCACCACCCGATGTCAGGTTTATGCCACAGCACAGATAATTACCAACATCACTGTTCTGTCTCTGTGATGGTTAACGCACCAGCATGTAGAAGCTCTGTAACTGAAGGGACATTTTTAATGCTAAAATATAACAATAATTATTATTATTGGTGTATTGGTAGACACAAGAACCGGGATGTTTGGAGTCCATCCCAGCTGACTCAGGGTGAAGTCAGGGGACATGAGCTGTGTATGAATGTTTTTTTACTGTTTAATCGTTGCTACGGTGTGGTGAAGCGGTCTGTATCTGTGTCGTTCCAGGTGGTGTACATCACCGTAGAGGATCTGCACAAAGTGGAAATCAANCAGACGTCAGACATTTTTATTTTTTATTTAACACACGGACGGCGTGAAACATAAAAGAGTTCTTTCATAGATTTATTACAGGTCTTTTTGAAATGTGACAAACTCGGCTGGGTCAAAATATTCAGCGCTTAACACATTTATTGGACCACCACTCAGTGTCAGGTTTATGCCACAGCACAGATAATTACCAACATCATTGTTCTGTCTCTGTGATGGTTAACGCACCAGCATGGAGAAGCTCTGTAACTGAAGGGACATTTTTAATGCTAAAATATAATAATAATTATTGTTATTGGTATATTGGTAGACACAAGAAATAAAACTCACAGCTATGACATTTAATCCATCCATCCATCATCTCTACACCTTCATCCTCACTAGGGTGGTGGGGGGCTGACTCAGCTGACTCAGGGTGAAGGCAGGGGACATGAGCTGTGTATGAATGTTTTTTTTACTGTTTAATCGTTGCTACGGTGTGATGAAGCGTTCTGTATCTGTGTCGTTCCAGGTGGTGTACATCACCGTAGAGGATCTGCACAAAGTGGAAATCAACTAACGGCTGTTTCTCTCTGTTGCCTGATTTTACAGCCCACAGTTATTGACCGTTAATGAAAGATGAGTTCTGGGGATTGTTAGGTTGATTGGAAGCATGTGTAGCGTTAAAGATAAAAAAAAAAAAAAAAAAGCTGTAGATAGTTCTGCATGTGGTGAGTATAAACCAGATTTAGCACGGTCAGTAAAATAAACCAGTATGTGTTCAAACAGTGAAATGAAGGAGGTAAAAAAAATCCATTGTCTGTGACGGCTTGCAGGGAAGTGTGGGGAACCAGACATCAGCATACAGAGTATTATAATTATGACCAGTAATAAACCCTGATCCAGAGGGATGGAGAGTCACAGCTAAGAACAAGCATGTATAAACCATGGAGCCATGATCCAATTAGAAAAGTTGTCGTTATCAGCATAACAATGGCAGAGAAAACATGATTTATATTTACAGGAAAACATATTTTATCTGCTCACTCACCAGTTTGGTAAAAAGGCGCCTTGTCATCCTTTAAAATCCAAAGATATGTTTACTCCTTCAGTAGTTGTGTTGTTCTTGATAGGGATGATGAGAACATCACTATCACCAAATCTCGCTCTGATGACAATCATGTAACGCCTTTAATCTGCATTTAGAACTGATTTATGGTTGTTGAGTGTAAATGATGGATACCGTGTGGAGATTCTCAGTAATCCTCAGAGCTTCAGTAGTAACTAACTAGACTTCTCTTGATGGTGAAGAACCAACAGTTGATTTCTACTGAAGCTCCGAGGATGATCCGTCTCATACTTGAGGCATCGGTTGATGGACAACTCTGTAATGTTCAAGCTCCAGCAGCATCGTCCAACACATCCACCATCAGCCCTGTGGGAGTCTTTAACTCAGTGGGTGGACATGCATGATATTCATGTGTGACAAAGGGATGCTGTTCAACTGAGAGATGTTTCTGGAGTCGACTATTTGAAATCAATGAGGATAAAAAATAGAAGCACCTGTCAGCATTTGCAGCACATTTTAGCAGCACGACAACATGCAGTCGTCCCCAAACCCTTCCATGAAAGAAAAGACAAAACTCACAACAGTCCCTCAAATAACCAGAAACTGAAAAAAGTAATAATAAATAAAAAATTATAAAATTAGAATTTAGTGAAATGAGACGTTGCTTTTGAATTTTGGTTGAAAGTAATAATTTAAAAAATAAAACTGTCCCTGACTAATGAGAGGCCTTTGCTGATGAGCAGTGGTCCAGAACACCTGTCAACAGGTGCAGAAGTCTGACTGAGAGCTACAGGAAACACCTGATGGCAGTGATTGGCTCAGAGGATTGTTCAGCTAGATAGTAGTTCACAGGTCCCATCAGGCTGTTTGTTTTTTTTAATGTTTCTGTTGAACCACAATTCAAAAGCAACGTCATGATGTTCATTATATTTTTATTTATTATTTCTTTTGTCAGTTTCAGCTTATTTCAGTGACAGCTGGTTGTTTTCCTTCTTTAATGGGAGGGTACATGGTTTAAAAATGACCACTTCTCTTAAAGCAAACTGAGCCTTTGCTTCAGTTTTAGCTGAACTCAGTCAGCTGTTGTTCATGTGCTGTATTACATGGTTGTACCAGCAGGGGGCGCTGTAAGGCAGCATTGTGCAACAGGTAGCATGCTAGCCATGAATCAAAGCCCAGGCAGCCTGATTAACGTGGATCCAGAGGGGAGCTGTGGGATCTTAAACCGATCAGCCGCCGGTGGCTCCGCTGGAGGATCCCCGTCAGGTGTGTCGGATGGACCAGGTGGACCTCCAGGTACCAGCATGGGACGCACGTTTTAGGTTCCGGTTAGTGCTCCAGCAGAGGTCCCAGGAACTTCCAGGCGAGCTGTGAACTTTCCCGGAGTCCAACAGCAGAGCAGCAGGGAACCGATGGACAGGCCGGGCAGCAGCGGCTCAGGCGGCGGCGGAGAGGAGCCGAGCGGCGGGGCAGGAGGCTCCGAGCTGCTCCGGTGTCTGTCCGGTCTGGCTGAGCGGTACCGGACCGCCAAGTTCAGCCTGGCAGCTCACCTGCTCTGCTGGGCTCTGCTCAGGTGGTACCAGGTGAGTCTGTCCTCACAGTTTAAGTAGTTAGGTGAAGAAAAACGGATCAGAACCAGAACCAGCTCCAATGACGAAGTACGGACAAAACATACAGGAGTCTGGTGTCGTCCAGGAATGAGCAGGATTAACAGGAATAGGAAAATACAGAGTAAAGTTAAATAACAATAGAAAGAAAGTATATAAATATATACAAGGATGTACACATCACAGTTTATCTGCATTTGTCATCTTAATGATTTATTGTAAACATGCTTTATGAGGTACTGATGCCTTCATGGTCCACCAGGTCTGAGTCAGGTGACCTGTTACTGTAATAATCTTCTGTGTGGGTGTTAAGCTGTTTTGTTGGAATGAATGGAGCAGTCACCATCTCCATGTGAGCTCTGGACAGTCCTCACATGTGTTCACAGCCTCCCATCAAAGAAGGAAACCAACAGCCAGCTGTCACTGAAATAAGATGAAGCTGACAAAAGTAAAAATAAATAAAAAAATAATGAACATCATGACGTTGCTTTTGAATTGTGGTTCAACAGAAATATTTTTTAAAACCAGCATGCTGGGACCCGTTAACTACTATCTAGTTGAACAACCCTCTGAGCCAATCACTGCCATCAGGTGTTTCCTGTAACTCTCAGTCAGACTTCTCACCTGTTGACAGGTATTCTGGAC